AAAAAAAGATAGCGACTCAACTTTCACAGTTATGACTACTATCTGTTTTTTTCCATTCTTTTCCCCCATTTATGCATTTCTTTCTCTTTCTCCTTCCCCCCCAATAGTGTTTTGCTTTTGACTAGCGCCTCCTTCAGTCTCTTCTCCTTCTATTATCCTTTTCCCTTTTCTTCCCCTTTACCCTTACTGCTTCTTCCCTCCCTTCTATCCCTCCTCCCTTTTCTTTCCCCTTTTCTCTCCTACTGCCTATAGGGCAAGTTAGATTTCTATACCTAGCTGATTATGTTATTCTCTTCTTGAGCCAAATCTGATGAGAGTAAGGTTCAAACAGTGCTCACCCCCTTCCCTTCTTTCCCTCTGCTGTAATAGGATTTTCTGTCTTTTCCTACAATGTAATTTACCCTTGTCTGCTTCCTCCTTTCTCAGTACATTTTCTAAGATCAGACTAATCCACTTACTTGGATCCATTTAACCCATTTGATTAGATTTTTTTTATCATTATGTCCAAGTCAACTAATATCCACCCCCCTTATGTATACTCCTTTAACATGGTGTAATAACAACACAGTTCTCAAGAGTTGCAAGTGTCATCTTCCCTTGTAGGGATGTAAACAGTCCGCCCTTATTAACAACATTTTGTATCTTTCTGTCCCATTTACCTTTTTATGTCTCTCTTGAATCTTGTATTTGAAGATCAATTTTTTTGTTGAGCTCTGGTCTTTTTATCAGGAAGGTTTGGAAGTCCCTTATTTTGTTGAATATCCATCTCCCCCCTTGAAAAATCATGCTCATTTTTTCAGGGTAGGTGATCCTTGGCTGTCATCCAAGCTCCTCTGCCTTATGGAATATCATGTTCCATGCCCTGTGGTCTTTTAATGTAGAAGCTGCAAGGTCCTGTGTAATCCTGACTGTGGTTCCATGATATTTAAATTGTTTCTTTCTGGATGCTTGCAGCATCTTCTCTTTCATCTGGTAATTTTGGAATTTTGCTATCATATTTCTTGGCATTGTCAATTTGGAATCTCTTTCAGGTGGTGAGCGGTGTATTCTTTCTATGGTTATTTTCACTTCTGGTTCTAGGACTTCTGGGCAGTTTTCCTTTATGATTTCCTGAAAGATACTGTCCAGGCTCTTTTTTTCATCATGATTTTCGGGTAGTCCAATGATTTTTAAATTGTTTCTCCTGGATCGATTTTCCAGGTCAGTTGTTTTACTGATGAGGTATTTAATGTTTTCATCTGTTTTTTCCTTTTTTTGTTTCTGTTTCACTGATTCTTGCTCTCTCATAGAGTCACTGGTTTCCATTTGTCCAATTCTAGTTTTTAACAGATTGTTTTCTTCTGTTAGTTTTTGTACTTCCTTCTTCAATTGGCCAATTGTATTTTTAAGGGATTTTTTTCTTCAGTGTACTTTTTTCCAGTTTGCCAATTGTGTTTTTTAGGGACTTGTTTTCTTCAGTGTACTTTTTTTCCAATTGGCCAATTGTATTTTTTAAGGACTCTTCTACCTCTCTCATTAGACTTTTAAAATCCTTCTTGAGCTCTTCTAAGAAGGCTTTTTGGGCTTCAGACCAGTTCATATTCCCTTTTGATGTTGCAGATGTGGGTTTGTTGACAATGTTGTCCTCTTCAGAATTTCTGTCTTGATCTTCACTCTTCTCATAATATGAATCTATGGTACATTTCTTTTTACTCATGGTTTCTTTATTCCCTGGCCTTTAAAGAGATTGAGCTCTCCTGCTGGGGAGCAGAGGGCACTGACCCAAGCTTCTTGTGTTGGGAGCCTAGGTCTTGGTCACTGGCTTTGTGTGCTGGGGCCTCTTATGTTGGCAATTGGAGGCTGTAGGGTTTTGGCAGCTTACCTCGTGTTGGGCTGGAATCAGCAAGGCTGGAACTTTCAGGCAATTCTAGGTTGCCTGCTTTTCCTTTCCTTTAGCTTTCTTCAGCTCCTTTTAGATGGGTGCTGCAGGGTGTTTATCTGCCTGGGACCACTTGCAATGTTGCTTCCCTCATTTTTGCTAATGCACTGGGAGATTCCTTTGTGGTAGAGTGCCGAGGCACCTGGTGGTTTTCTGAGCTGGTTTCCACCGGTTCCCTCACCCACACCGAGGCACTATGAGGTCCAGGTGTTGGTGTTTGTCTGCTCTACCACCTGGCTTTCAGGATCTCTTCCTGGTTGACAGTTGGAGGCTGTAGGGTTCTGACAGCTTACCTGGTGTTGGGTTGGAATCAGCAAGGCTGGGACTTTAGGAAGACTCTAGGTTGCTTTCTTTAGCTCCTTTCAGATGAATGCTTCAGAGTGCTTATCTGTCTGGGGCCCTTTTCAGTGCTGCTTTCCTTATTTTTGCTGAGGCACTGGGAGACCTGTTTGTTGGACTGCTGCATTGCTGTTACCTGTCTTTTTTTCATCTGTTCCAGCATTTTTTTTTTGTGGGGACATTTTCTGGATTTTCAGAGGTTGATAGGGGACAGTGAGAGTGACTACCTTTTTACTCCACCATCTTGGCTCCCAGAAGAAGAAGTCCAGGTGATGCCATTGTTGAGGTCTAGAGGTTTAGGGGTGCTGAGACCCCAGAATCACAACAAATGGATCCTTCCCAAATGAATTCTACCCAGGCCTTCTTTCAGCCAAAGACAAACTTTACTAAAGATCTGCCATATTGGCCAGACTCTTAAGGAATGTGAAGGTTTGTGAGCTATTGGTTAGGTTCTTAAGGAATCTGAACACCCTAACTGAGACAAGATGGACCTTACATACAGAAAGACTGTGAGAGGGCTCTAGGGAGGATCTTGATGAGAGTGACTGGGAGGTTGAGAATGGTGTCTAGATAGGATTAAGGGTGGGAAGTGGCCAAGGGCAATTGGCAGGTAACAGAATTGGGAGACTGGGCACAGCTACAATGAAAGGCCAATTGATAGGATTATTGCCTCTGGAGAATGCCAGAGATTTGGGAAAGCCCAAAGATTTTCCTTTTTGGGACCCAGATCCCAAAGACATGATTTTTTTCCTTTTAGGAGTTCAGATCCTATCCTTATCACCATGACTTGCAAGTGAACTGGATTTAAGTGAGGCAGGGCTGTGTGTGCAAGGTCACCAGCCTCACTTTCTCCTCCAGAGCCATCTGGGTCTAGTGGCAAGATATAGATCAGGAAGACTGGAGATGGCCCTGGATACAGTGGGAGACCTTGGCCTTTTTAAGCTAAGGTCTTTAATAGGTCTCACTTTTACTGAGGCAAAGCCCATTCAGTGATTAAGGTTAGCTAAGAAATGGGCAAAGAAATGGCCTCTTTTACCTAGTAAAAAAAAAAAAGGTCAGACTGGGAGGGGAAGACCCTCAGGGTTTCTGGCCAAAACAGAAACAATTACTAATTATATTACTATTTTTGAGAGCCCTATAATATGGGGCCCAAACAGTGACCATTACGTGGGGCTTGGGCTGAAACTTATTGCTGACCAATCAATGAGAGCCAGAGTGAATTTGATTTGAGGGCTGGACTTTTTTTTGTGTGAGATAAGTGTGGTTAAGTGACTTGCCCAGAGTCACACAGCTAGTGAATGTTACATGTCTGAGGCCAGATTTAAACTCAGGTTCTCCTGACTCCAGGACCAGTGCTCTATCCATTGTGCCACCTACCTGCCTCAGGGCTGATCTTTAAGAAAGAAATCTAGTATGTAAACCCCAAGATATCCTGCTAGGTTTCAGCTGAGGAAGAGGAAGGAAAGAGAGGGATAGGAAGAAAGGGAGAAGGAAGGGAAGAGAAGAGGAGGGGAGTGGTAATGGCTAGCACAGTAGTTGACATATAGTAGGCACTTAGTGTTTATTGATTGGAATGTCACAGAAATATTACCAACAGATAAGGTAACTGATCAGTAGTCAAAGAGTTATGTTTGCAAGAAAAAATACGGTTTCTTAGGAAAATACAAGTGAAGTTGTTACTGAGTGACCTACAAATAAATGATATATTACTTTTAAGGAAGTCAAACACATAAGATTCAATGTCCCAGAAAACTTCATTTTGACCAGCAAAACTCAGCCCAAATCTTAGACTGCCACCTTTCATGTGATCAATATTATCAGTATAAAACATCCTGGGTCAATTCAAGGTCTCAGGTGGGTCCACCCACCTCAGATAAGTATAAGGGTTCGAAGAAAGAAGACAATTTTATTTTTAGGTTACATATTTGTGAGGGTGGTGGGGCCAAGCTTAGGATACCTGGACTTTGACTCTAGTTTTTTCACACTTTTTGAAAATGCCAGGGAAGTCATTTAAATCTTCTGTGCCTCCATTTCCTTATCTATCAAATGGTGGTCATGATATATATTGTATTGACCTCACATGACTCTTGTGAATGTGTTAGAAGTTAAGAGCCCTTTCTAATTAAGAGATGAACCTTACTCAAGGTGGGATGAATAAGAAAACTTATATTCAAACCCAGATTTTCTGATTCTTGCCTTGTCTAGTATGTGTGTGTATGTGTGTGTGTGTGTGTGTGTGTGTGTGTGTGTGTGTGTGTGTGTGTGTGTTTAACTATATCATGGAGATAGAACTAGAGGGAAGTCTTCAATGCCCATGAAAATCTTTACAAAACGTGCCACCAAAAATGAGTGGGTGGGGCGGGGTGGGGTTGGATTGAGGCCACTGATTTTCTCTTTGTTGCTCAAAGGATCTTTGAACTATTTCCTACTCTGATAACCTTCTCCTTCCCAACAGTAAATGCGTCAATTATCAAAACTCATGGAGGATACAGAAGCTCAAAAAATTATGTCTAATTGATTATTTGGATGGATTTTAACAAGTAGTCATTCAAAATGAAGAAAGGCATAGGACTTCCAAGAACAATAGTATGTTATTTAACCTTTCGCTTACCCCCCAGTGCCCTATTGTAAGACTTACTGGAATACTGTGCAAAAAAAGATAACAATTTTCAAAGTCACATTGATCTCAGGATATATTTATAGAGAAAGATGTTAGGAGAGGAGTACACACCTTCTAACCAGCTTCATTGAGTGAGTAACTGAAGGTAAAGACCTGTGAACATCTGAGAAGATGAAGGTCCTTTTCCTCACCATAGCACTAAGCCTGTTCTCTATCCTCCAAGCTCAGGAGTCATCCCCTTCTGAAGAATGCTTTGAGGTGAGACTTCACTGGGATATCTTATAGATTAGAAGGAGGTATGTATGCTAGCAAAAGGCTGTCATTTAAAAATCTGAGCCTCACTGGGCTGTTTTTAACCTGGGTCTGTAGCCCTGTAACCTTCACAGCTTAAAATATACTCCAATTTTAGTGCTATAGATTTCATTAGAAAATCTTGGATTGATGGAAGATGGAAGATTGGAGAAATTTGGTGCAGGAAGTAGATTCCAAGTCAGGAATTTCACTATTCCCTTGCTTTAATTGACTTTGTCCAGAATGAACTGGATTTGGCAATATGAGTTAATTTTACCCTTGCTAATGGCCATTCAGAGAAAGTAATGTTCTTGAGTGAAGTTAGGTCTCCAAGGATTCAAAGTCATTTTCTTCAGGAATTCAGTTTGGGGGTTCAGTGCCAAATTTCTGCTTCCATTTAAGCCATGTCAGAGTTGGGCCAGATTGATAGGTTTGGGTTCTCAAGGCTAGTTTACTTCAACCTGATAATTTCTTCCTGTAAAACATGATTTTATGTTTGTTACCACTGGGTCCATAGTGGTCCCTGGGTACCTGGCTTGTGCATGATTTTTGCCTCAGAGCTGGGATTCAGTTCAGAGATGGGAATGAAGATTCAGATGACTAGAAGATATTTGTGAAGAATTGGTTCCTATTACTCCCTCATTTTTCCTCCTTCAAGTTCTAGCTACATATTGAAATTCCCTCCAGGGTACATACATTGTAAAGGCCATTGTGATAGACAGTGAATTTCTTGAGAAGCATGCACCTAAGGAGATGTCACCCTTGACAATCACCCGCCTTAGCTATGATGATCTGGAGGCCAAATTTACCATCAAGTAAGTAGACTGCCTGTAGTTGTCCTATCAGCTTGCTTCATCTTTATCTCTCCTATTCTAGGAACACAACTAGAGCCAGTCATTCTATGCTCTCTGCATATCTAATCTGACCACAGATAAGTACATATACTGTGTTGGAGTTAGAGGCTTAGAAGGTTTAGGTTAAGGTTAGAGTTAGAGTGCATACATACACACATACATACCTGTTTATGTGTACATATATACATATACAAACTTATACACACATATATGTATGTAGAATACACACACACACACACACACATATATATGTATATATATATATGTATATATACATATATATGTAATTATGAAGCTTAGGCTGCCTTTCTCAGGAAAGAGTGAAATGCTTACAATGTACTCATTGACTAATTTTTTCTGACTCACTAAATGCTAGTCCCCACATGGCCTCAGGCCTCCTCTAAACTTTCCTTATTTCTCTGTGGATGCCTTTGTTTCATGTAGTTCATGACACAAGTTATCCTATGCTATATACTGCAACCTACTCATACTGTACATCCTTCTTCATATCCTTTGGGGTCACTTGGGTTTGGATTTTTAGAGAGCATGGTATTCCTTGATCTCCAGCTGTACAGATTGACCCAGAGAACGTTCAATATTCAAAAGATGAATGCTAAGTCACAAGATTCTTTTCTATGAGTGAGAATAATCAGATAACAGGCTGTAATGCTAATCTGCTTCTGGACATTCTCTTGTGCTTGCCACATTGCGAACTGGGTCAGGAGTGAAGTTATCAAATCACCTTTCATGATTTCAATGACATATAAACTTCTCTTACTCTTGTTGTCTCCAGCAAAACCATTCACATGCATTCTGTTTTCCAGCCAGAATGGAATGTGTGAAGAGATTAAATTGAAATTAGAGAAAACAAACAATCCTGGGCTATTTTCTGTGGGTAAGTGAATCAAATATGTCATATTAAAGGAATCCCTGGCCTCCTCAGAGGTGCTTTGTCAGGCCAAAGTAAAGACTGGGACTTGCAACTTTCCTTGATTCTTGGAGTCCAAAGGCTGCGTTTCTTGACAATATCTTGTGAATTTGCATGCTTTTTCTATGGCATAGACTGAGTTGATGAGTAGGTTTATCTGTCTGAAAATATGACCTACTAAATATCTGTGTATGAGGGGTTGAGGTAGAAAATTCAGGTTAGGCATCTACTCTTATAATTTGCTATGGGAAATCACAAGAACACTTATTTAACATTTTCCCAATAATAGATACTTTAATGGCCAAAGATATTTTCTTGAATGCTATTCTCAGGATTCATAAATCATCTAGAAAGAAGTTTGGCACATTAGAGTTCATTAAAACATTAATATGGGAGCGGAGCCAAGATGGCAGAGTGAAAGCAGTGACTTGCTTGAGCTCTCCCCCAAACCCCTCCAAATACTCGTAAAAAATGGCTGTAAACAAATTCTGAAGCAGCAGAACTCACAAAAAGACAAAGTGAAACAAATTTCCAGGCCAAGACAACCTGGATGATTGATTAGAAAGGTGTATCCTGCTGGGCTGGGAGTGCAGTGCAGCACACGCAGGCCACAGCAAACCTGAAGCAGGCCTCAGAGGACTGAATCGCGGGCAGCTGTGGGGGTTTCCAGACTCCTCAATCCACGAATGCCAAAGACAACTTAGAAGGTCAGTGGGAAAAGGCTGTTTCTGTCGGTGGTCAGAGAGGAAGGTGGGGTCTCAACTCCATTCCCCAAGAGCCTGGCCCTGGGTGGGGCAGCTGCTTCCTGAGCTTCCGGCCCACAGACTGAGGGGGAATCCAGTGGCTGATCAGAGAGGGACTGCAGGGATCTCTTTGCCAATGCTGAGGCAGGAATCTCTTGCTTTGCCCATGTGTGAATCTGGGTCACAGTTCTGGGCAGCAGTGCTGGGGTGAGGAGGAGCACTGGCGTGGTGGAGCTTGTAGTGGCTGTGGAGAGGAACCTCTCCTCATAGTTACGGGACAGAAAGGAATACTTGTGGTCACAGGCCAGGAAAGGAATAAACACCTCGCCCCTTATCATACCACCTTGGAAGAACTGAAAATTTACAGGTCCCTACAAGTATCTCTGAAAACAGCTACACAAACCCCTGAAGCTTGGGACAGTACACTCTCCACATTGGAAGCAGACTCTTACCTTAACAAAGAGTTTAAAACTCAAGTAATTGGCTGGGATCATGAGCAAGCAGCACAAAAAGAGTCAGACTATATTATCTTACTTTGGTGAAAAAGAAGATCAAAATATACAACCAGAAGAAGACAACAAAGTCAAAGCTCCTACATCCAAAGCCTCCAAGAAAAATATGAATCAGTCCCAGGCCTTGGAAGAGCTCAAAAGGGATTTTGAGAAGCAAGTAAGAGAAGTAGAGGAAAAACTGGGAAGAGAAATGAGAGTGATGCAAGAAAATCATGAAAAACAAGTCAACAGCTTGCTAAAGGAGACCCAAAAAAATACTGAAGAAAATAACACCTTAAAAAATAGCCTAACCCAAATGGCAAAAGAGGTCCAAAAAGCCAATGAGGAGAAAAATGCCCTAAAAAGAAAAATTGGCCAAATGGAAAAGGAAGTCCAAAAGATTACTGAAGAAAATACTTCCTTAAAAATTAGAATAGAGCAATTGGAAGACAGTGACTTTATGAGAAATCAAGACACTGTAAAACAAATCCAAAAGAATGAAAAATTAGAAAACAATGTGAAATATCTCATTGGAAAAACAACTGACCTGGAAAATAGATCCAGGAGAGAGAATTTAAAAATTATTGGACTATCTGAAAGCCATGATCAAAAAAAGAGCCTAGACATCATCTTTCAAGAAATTATCAAGGAAAACTGCCCTGATATTTAGAACCAGAGGGCAAAATAGAAATTGAAAGAATCCACAGATCTCCTCCTGAAAGAGATCCCCAAAGGAAAACTCCTAGGAATATTGTAGCCAAATTCAGAGTTCCCAGGTCAAGGAGAAAATATTACAAGCTGCCAGAAGGAAACAATTCAAGTACTGTGGAAACACAATCAGGATAACACAAGATTTAGCAGCTTCTACATTAAAGGACCACAGGGCATGGAATATAATATTCCGGAGGGCAAAGGAGATAGGATTACAACCAAGAATCACCTACCCAGCAAAACTGAGTATAATCCTTCAGGGGAAAAAATGGTCATTCAGTGAAATAGAGGACTTTCAAGCATTCCTGATGAAAAGACCAGAGCTAAACAGAAAATTTGACTTTCAAATACAGGACTCCAGTGGAACATGAAGAGGTAAACAGGAAAGAGAAATCATAAGAGACTTATTAAGATTGAACTGTTTACATTCCTGCATGGAAAGATGATATTTGTAACTCATGAGAACTTTGTCAGTATTAGGGTAGTTGAAGGAAAAAAATTGTATGTGTATGTATATAGATAGATAGAGGGCACAGGGTGAGTTGAAGATTAAGGGGTCATATCTGGAGAATAAAATTAAGGGATGAGAGAGGATGATACTCGGAGAAGAAAGGGAGAGGTAGAATGGGGTAAATTATCTCACAAAAAAAAACAGAAAAGAAAAGTCTCTCACAGTGGAGGGGAAACAGGGGAAGGTGAGAGGGAATGAGGGAATCTTATTCTCATAGGATTTGGCTTAAGGAGAGAATAACATACACATTCAATTGGGTATGGAAATCTGTCTTACCCTACAGGAAAATAGGGGGAGAAGGGGACAAGAGAGCAGGGGGGTGATAGAGAGGAGGGCAGATTGGGAAAGAGGGTAATCAGAAGCAAATACTTCTGAGGGACAGGGTCAAAAAAAAGAATAGAATAAATGGGAGGGCAGGATAGGATTAAGGGAAATAGAGTTAGTTTTTCACAACATGTCTACTAAGGAAGAGTTTTGCATAACTGCACATGTACAACCTATTTTGAGTTGCTTGCCTTTTCAATGAGGGTGGGTGAGGAGGGAGGAAGGGAGAAAATTTGGAACCCAAAGTTTTAAAAACACATGTTTTAAAAAAAATGTTTTCACATGCAACTGGGCAATAAGAAATACAGGAAATGGGGTACAGAAGTCTATCCTGCTCTACAGGAAAATAGAAGGGCAAGGGGATAAGAGAAGGGAGGGGGGGAGAGATAGAAGAGAAGGCAGACCAAGGGAAGGGGTATTCAGAATGCATGCCATCTTGGGATGGGGGGAGGGGTGAGAAATTTGGAACTCAAAAACTTGTGGAAGTGAATATTGAAAACTAAAAAGGAAATAAATTTGTATTAAAAAAACTCCCCCAAAACATTAATATGATGACTCTCCAGGATGTTTCTTGAGGGGAAGGGCAAAACATGCAAAGATGGAGTACTACAGCAGTTACTTGCTTGCCTTCTTGGGATTAGAGACCTGTAGAGAAGGGGCATATGCAAAAAACAAGCCATCTGCATCACTATTTTTTTTTTCTTTTGTGAGGCAATTGGGCTTAAGTAACTTGCCCAGAGTCACACAGCTAGTAACTATTATGTATGATTGGATTTGAACTCAGGTCCTCCTGACTCCAGGGCTGGTACTCTACCTACTCTGCCACATAGCTGTCCCTATGCATCACTGTTTTTTTAAAATGATTTTTTCCATTTATATATTGGAGAGGATTGAGCCTGAATCATTTCCCAGAGCCAAGACACTGACATCATGCTGGTGCTGCCCTCATTCAACAAATATTTATTAATCAACTCTAGTGTTCAGAGCATTGTGCTGTTTATTGGAGGAGGGACAAAATTCAAGTTTGACATGATTCTTGCCAAAGGTACAAATACAGGCAACCCTTTATTCTTGCTTTCTTTGTTACCTTGGACCTGAATTATGATTTCATTTGTATCAGGAGCTTCCAGTAAGGAAACTCCCTCTATCAAGACAGATCTGCATCTGTTCTGCAAGTTATATTGTTTGAGAGTTGCTTGAGGGTTTTGATAATTAACTTGCTTATGGTAACCTTGGTAATATACATCAGAGGTAAGACTTGAACTGAGGACCAACAAACTCCAAGCTTGTTTCTTTGTTCACTACAGCATACTATCCCTCTAATGTAGGACAAATTAATTACTTTCTTGGCCTCAGTTTCCTTATCTGTAAAATTAGGGGTTAAGCTTTTTTTTTTTAGGTTTCTTGAAACTCTTAAAACTTTAGTCCCTGGCTTCTTTAACATACAATATTACGTGATAAGTGCATTATAAAGATGCCATATCAGATCCAAGGGGATATTGTCCTTGTCATGGGACCACCCAACTTTTTTTCATGATTCTTGGATGCTAATGCCCACCAGGTATGGGCAACTTCCCTACAGAATGAAATCCTAAAGCCTGCCATAGTCTCCTCCCAACAGATTTTCCAAGAGGATTTGGGATGCTAAAGATATATCTCCTTACCACCTCCACAGATGAGAGCAACAACCAGATACTCATAGAAAAGGCATCTGTGAGAGATCATTGGCTTCTCCTTGGTGAAGGCGAGATACATGGCAGCCAAGTGCGAGTTGCCAAACTTGTGGGTAGGTAACTCGGGATTCTGTGAATCCCTCCAAGAGAAGAGCATTCAGATGTGGAATAGCTGTTAGAAAATGCTCGTGTGGATTCCTCCCTCTTGTGGGACATTCCCAGATCTGGCATCTCTAGAAGGAGCAGGAGGGGAGCCATTTTGTTACAAAGCAAAGCCCAATAAAGTGGCCAGTGGATTCTGTGAACTCCCTCAAAAGTTTTGCTATCTGGAGGTTTGATGGCAACAGAGACATTGCTTACCAGTCACATTCCCAGGCTGCCAATACTGACTGAACTGCTCTTTAATGAGTCTGTAGAAGGCAAAATGATGCTTTGAACAAAGCAGCAGTAGGAAGAAGACAGGGTGTCTCCATATTTTCCCTCATTCTTCCATGCTGCTTCTGGGGGCATTAGGACTATTTTGTTTTAGTGCATGATTGGGAGATGTAGGTGGGTTTTCTGTAGAGAGGTAGGTTTGGGGAATGCTTATTGTGGGAGAGGAGGGATTTTGTTGGCAGAAGACAGGAGGGCTGAACTCTTAGTTCTCTAAATACTGAGTTCTCTCATTTTGCTTTGCGCTGGCAATTTAACTGACCAAGGAGCAATACCCAAGGACTTTCACCATAGGAGGGGACTACTATAGAAACAGGGACCAGAGAAGGATTGAGTCAGAATGAATAGGCATTTATTCTGCCCTCTCTTCAGGTCCAGATGAAGAAAGAACCCAAAAGCCTTTGAAGACTATAAAAAGTTTGTCAGGCTTACAGGATTCAATGAAGATAAAATCAAAATCCCTGGACAAGTTGGTAATAAGAATAGAACTGGCTGCGCATTGCTGTGCCGTGTTCCCTTAGCCTGAACTCCAACCCCTGCCTTTCCCCTTTTTTCTTGTTCTTCCCATCTCTTACATGCTATTATACACTAATTTCTTAGGAGACCTTGTATAATTGTTTGAATTATACGGTAATAAGTGATTTTGGTAAATCCACTCACATATGTCTTTGTTTCTGCAGAGGCTTGCACCCGGAACATGATTAAGGTGTGTACTCTTTAAAGATTTCTAGAGAATCTTCCAGAATAATCTAAACTCTTACACTTCATCTGGATTTAAGCACCTACTTGGTCCAGTTCAACTACAGGAAGTTGAACACCCAAATGGTGTCAGTGGCATCACCTTGTTTTACCTATCTCAAATAGGTTTTAGCTTCCTGTAGATTTCTGTCTTTTTGTCTTCCTGCATGCTAGAAATGTTTTGGTACATCTCCATCTATCACCAGTGGCTTCATTTTAAGACTATTGCCTCTTGTTTGGTTCTTAGTGGAAGGTGAGAAACAACTGGCTAAAATGTGAAGAATGATAATTGTGGAGTCAGTACTTTCAATTACCTGTGGGAACTTGAGAAAGTCCCTTAAGCAATCTGGCCTCAGGTTCTTCTTATGTAAAATAATTCAGGTTGAATTAGATCACTCCTGTTATCTCTTTAAGCTTTAAATCTAGAATTTTATAATAATAATTATGATTTAAATATTTGAAGATTGTGATAAATTTTCCTTCATTTTCCCTCTCCAAGTTTCTCCAAGGGATCTCTTATACTCCCTGAAATACATGATTCAATTGGACAAAATGTTTATTTACACACACGGTTTCAAGAACATTGAAATCACCCAGTTGGTGGCTTTGCACATGATAGGTTTTTTACTTAGCAGCGGCCTCTTCCTTTCTGAGGTCATAGGGCTCTAGACTTAGAACTTTTTTCTAGTTCAGCCTGCTCATTTTTCAGTTATTGTAAATGAAGCCTAGAGAGATCACACAAATGACCTCTTCAGAAGTGATGGAGACCAAATGGGAAACCATTCCCTCTGACTCCAAATCTTCTGTTCTTTCTCACCTATAATGATGGCTTTTTCTGAACATCTGGCATTTTGAGGCTAGGTTTTGCTAGCTCATGGGAAACTGACTTCTGCTCTTTTGTGCAATCCAAGGGAGTCATTACTGACTCTCTCTTTGATGTTTTCTAGGAGAAGGTGATTCTCTTCAACCTTAGAATCAATGCTGTCCAGGAAATCCCAGTCATATCCTTAAATACCAAGGTGTTCCTAGTGCCTGGTTGCTACATAAACTTCTCCTTTTCATCCTTAATCTCTTTCTTCAACTTTTTTTTTTTCTTCCAATGCAAAATAAACATATAATGCAACAATTATTGGCTGTGTCTCTCTGTTTTTAAAATTTTTTTGGGGGGCTATGAATAAAAAGTGGCTGACAAGTAGATTGGGTACACTTGACTGGGAGTCTATGCCTTGGATTTTCAAAGGTTGAGAGAAACTTATGTCTTCTATAAGGTGTAGTCAAACATTGCCTATATATAATACTCAAATTACTGGCTGAAAAATGAAAGGGTAATTCATCTTCTGTTCACAATGTTAGGCATAGTGGTTATGATAGCAACTGACTTTATGTTTTATGGCTCCAAAGTTGAACACTAGAATGCCTTAGCAATGGATGATCAGTGAGGTTTCACAACAGATTTGTAGGCATAATTATTCCAAATAAAAAGCTAGCAAATAATAAATTAGGAAGTGTTTCCTCCTTACTTCCCTGCTTCTTTTTCTCTTTCATCCCTCCCTAGAAGAATTCCTAAATAGCTTCAATGTTTCTACCTGACTGCCTCCTTCATGGAACAGCTTCTCATTCTCAACTGAATTTTACTTTGTATTTCATGGTGTTTTCCCATGAGTATTGTTATTCTTCCCTTGAATTCATTAAAAGATTATTTTCCCAACATCTCTGGCTGACTCATAGGCCTTTCATTACACACAAAATGAATACTTGGACAAGGATTTAACTTAATGTCAATTTCACCTACACTGGGGTGGTATGGCATTGTGATCCCATTTGTAGACAGCAAAGGTCAATAGGAGAACCCTATGTCCTAGTATTATTGCTCATTATGAGTGCAAAATTTGCTAGTTTTCTCTTTGCTGGCAACTTTTCCTCCTCTCCTCCTATCAAAAAAGTGTAACTTTTCTAGAGTCAGCTCAATTTTGTAATAAATAGATCAGTTCACTTACAGCCTGTACTTTCTTATGGTCTTTTCCCAATCATCATTCTTCTTCAACTTTCTACAGAGCCTTTGACACTGTTGATCACCACCTTCTCCTGGATCTCCTTCTACTCATTCAACTGTTCCTTTGCAGTCTTCTTTGCTGGATCTTCATCCATGTCATGCCATTTAAGTTGAGTATCCCTAAAGCCTCTGTCCTAGCCTATTTTTTCTTCTACTTATACATTGCTTCTATTGATGATATAATTAGCTCCCATAGATTAGATTATCTCTATCCAGAGTTGTGAGACTGGGTGACTGGGAGAATTGTAATGTCATGGATAGAAATTGGGAAGTTTTGAATGTGGGAGGGGGAGAGTAATATAATGAAAAGCTTGAAAGAAAAGAGTATCAAGGAGAAGAATCATTATCTTTGGAGAGAGGAATTTTAATTAAGTAATGAGGTTGGAAGCCAGCCTGTAGAGAATTAAGAGGAGAGGAAGTGAAAAGAAAGTGGACACACCTATTGTATATATGTTTTTCTAGTATTTGAGTTATAATTAGGATGGATATGGGATATTACCTATGGGAATGGATGAATCAAGTAACAGTTTTTTGTGGATGAGGAACGTGGACATATTTGTAGGCAGCAGGTCAGCAGGCAGTAGTATAAAGAGAGAATGATGTAAGAGATTGTGGATGATAGGGGCAATCTGCTGAAGGAGATGGGATGGGATGTGATCACTCTTGCATGTAGAGGAATTTTCCTTGGCAAGAACAAGGTCACCTCTTCATGTCAAACATGAATGAAAGGGGAAATCATGGCAGAAAGTACACATGTGATGAGAAGGGGGAAGAGGTAGTGTTTGGTGAATAGCTTCAAGTTTTTCAGTAAAATGTAAGGCAAGATTTTCTACTGAGAATGTGGGGTAAGGTAGGACCAAGGAAGGTCTGAAGAGAGATGGAAAGGTTTGGAAGAAGCAAGAATTATTGTGGGAAGTGGATTACTGAGTTAAGTAGTGAGGTGTAAAAGGACCTCTTGGTGTAGCAAGGGCCCAATTGAGGATATGTAGCATATATTTATTTATTTTCAATTATTTAATTATTTATTTTAGGCAATTGAGGTTAAGTGACTTGCCTAGGGTCACACAGCTAGTAAGTGTCAAGTGTTTGGTCTGAGTCCGGATTTGAACTCAGGTCCTCCTGACTTTAGGACCGGTGCTCTATCCACTGTGCCACCTAGCTACCCCCATATATTTCTAATCAATCCAGTCAGCATAATTCTATGCTTTTCTCCAGCTTTTTTCAGTAACACATATATAGGAATGAAGGCAATAGATGTTGGGAGTTATTAAAAGCAGAGGCTTGTCAGGGCAAGATAGGCAACATCTTAAAGGGACAAGAGATTGAAGAGATGAAGACAGTGTAGAATTAGAATGGTTCACCAAGGAATCAAAATGTGGTAGGGAGGAGGATAAAGGTGATGGCCTGGGAAAGAATCAAGAGGTAGAGAGAGTGGAGGTCTTAGTAAAGATGAAGAACAGTGTTAGGGTTTTTAAGGCAGAGATGGAATAATAACAGATTATACTCTGATGAGGTGATTTAAGAATTCATGAACATGGAAGTAGAGCATTTGTAGGTGATGGCAAGATTAAAGTTATGGCTGTGGTGGGGTAGAGGAGTAGGTTATTTGAAATGAATACCATTGAAGGACTGTGAGATTAGGTTGCTTCTGGGTAGGTCTGGACAATATATGGTCTACCAGCTGCCTTCAGCCTGTCAAAGGATTTCAGGCAGCAGCCACTGCCCACTGTCTCCTGTTTGTCAAGTGACCTGTGACAACCAACTATGGTCAATTTGCTTCTACTTACCTTTACTTGGAAAGTGAGCTGCCAAAAACCTATTTGCAACTCGAAGAAGTTTAGCCAATTTTAATTTTGGACCCTACTGACTCCCAAGTTGTGCAGGTCTGTTTCAGGGAATATCAATAGATATATTGAAATCCCATAGTGCAAAGGCAGGAGTTGAGGAGGAGAGGAAGGTTGTGGTCCTGGCACTGAACTTACTGAGGACAGCATCTTGAGGAGAGTATCTTGGACATTAGTAGACAATTAACAATAGGCTGATTTAGTGGGAAATATGGATTGAGTGAACCTCAAAGGAAGAGAAGTTACTGCATGATAGAGGGAGAGGGACAGCCTTGAAGCAGCAATGGGGAACAAGGATTATTTCAACTCTGCCATCTGAATCAGTAAGTTATGGGGTACGAGCTAAAGTACAAATGGTGCTGCCATTGTAATGCTGTCTTTACTATCTTGTTCTTATTGTATAAATTGTTCTTCTGAATCTGCCCATATCCCTGCATCATTTCATACAAGCCTTGCCAGGTTCCCTAAAACCTTCACCTTCTTCTGGTGCTCAGTAGAATAGTCTTTTTCCTCTTCTAGAAGGAGACGAGAGACCACGTGATGGAATGGTGACCTCTTTCCTTAACCCAAAGGTGGGAAAGTGGTGAGTGATAGAATTTTTTTTACTTCTTTACCTAGGAGGCTGGAAACCAGGACAGAAATGTTGTGTGATAGAATGAATCCCTCTCCCCTCACCAAAAAGGTAGGAAAATGGGACTACTGAATGACATTCCTCCTCTTTCTACAAAAAGCTGTTGACCAGGCAAGAAACCTGGTATGATGGAACAGAGTTTCTCTTTTTCCCTTTGGAGGCTGAAGGCCTGTGCAGTGGATTGGCACTGTTTCCTCTCACCAGAACAGAAAGAAAGTAGTGTGATGAAATATCTTCTCCTCTTTCCTCAAAGGCAAGAAAGGAGACTTGTTTATGATGGAATATCCTTCCTCCTCTTCTTTGTAGGAGGCTTGAGACTAGCTATGAGACTTAAAGTGATGGAATAGCTTCTTTTCCCTTCACCAGAAAGGCTGAGACCAGCACAATGGCCTCCAGATAATCAAAATAAATCTAGACACCAAAGGATAAATATTGCAAAACAAAGGAAAATGAATCAACATCCTATGAACCAGCATGGAACCAGAGCAAAATGATCCTATCTGCTTTAAAAGAGAAATAAGAGTAAGAATAGAACTGATGACTTGCAGAGCAGAAATCTTTGGCAGGGTAGAGCAATCCACAGTGATGAGTTTCTTCTAAGAAATATAAGCGAGAACAACAGATTGGGAATACAAATATACAAAAATGAAGCATAATGTAGAAGAAGGGAGGCAACCCCCCCAATAATATTAAAAGAACACATGATCTCTATATAAGCAAAAGTGTTCAGAGCATTGTGCTGTTTATTGGAGGAGGGACAAAATTCAAGTTTGACATGATTCTTGCCAAAGGTACAAATACAGGCAACCCTTTATTCTTGCTTTCTTTGTTACCTTGGACCTGAATTATGATTTCATTTGTATCAGGAGCTTCCAGTAAGGAAACTCCCTCTATCAAGACAGATCTGCATCTGTTCTGCAAGTTATATTGTTTGAGAGTTGCTTGAGGGTTTTGATAATTAACTTGCTTATGGTAACCTTGGTAATATACATCAGAGGTAAGACTTGAACTGAGGACCAACAAACTCCAAGCTTGTTTCTTTGTTCACTACAGCATACTATCCCTCTAATGTAGGACAAATTAATTACTTTCTTGGCCTCAGTTTCCTTATCTGTAAAATTAGGGGTTAAGCTTTTTTTTTTTAGGTTTCTTGAAACTCTTAAAACTTTAGTCCCTGGCTTCTTTAACATACAATATTACGTGATAAGTGCATTATAAAGATGCCATATCAGATCCAAGGGGATATTGTCCTTGTCATGGGACCACCCAACTTTTTTTCATGATTCTTGGATGCTAATGCCCACCAGGTATGGGCAACTTCCCTACAGAATGAAATCCTAAAGCCTGCCATAGTCTCCTCCCAACAGATTTTCCAAGAGGATTTGGGATGCTAAAGATATATCTCCTTACCACCTCCACAGATGAGAGCAACAACCAGATACTCATAGAAAAGGCATCTGTGAGAGATCATTGGCTTCTCCTTGGTGAAGGCGAGATACATGGCAGCCAAGTGCGAGTTGCCAAACTTGTGGGTAGGTAACTCGGGATTCTGTGAATCCCTCCAAGAGAAGAGCATTCAGATGTGGAATAGCTGTTAGAAAATGCTCGTGTGGATTCCTCCCTCTTGTGGGACATTCCCAGATCTGGCATCTCTAGAAGGAGCAGGAGGGGAGCCATTTTGTTACAAAGCAAAGCCCAATAAAGTGGCCAGTGGATTCTGTGAACTCCCTCAAAAGTTTTGCTATCTGGAGGTTTGATGGCAACAGAGACATTGCTTACCAGTCACATTCCCAGGCTGCCAATACTGACTGAACTGCTCTTTAATGAGTCTGTAGAAGGCAAAATGATGCTTTGAACAAAGCAGCAGTAGGAAGAAGACAGGGTGTCTCCATATTTTCCCTCATTCTTCCATGCTGCTTCTGGGGGCATTAGGACTATTTTGTTTTAGTGCATGATTGGGAGATGTAGGTGGGTTTTCTGTAGAGAGGTAGGTTTGGGGAATGCTTATTGTGGGAGAGGAGGGATTTTGTTGGCAGAAGACAGGAGGGCTGAACTCTTAGTTCTCTAAATACTGAGTTCTCTCATTTTGCTTTGCGCTGGCAATTTAACTGACCAAGGAGCAATACCCAAGGACTTTCACCATAGGAGGGGACTACTATAGAAACAGGGACCAGAGAAGGATTGAGTCAGAATGAATAGGCATTTATTCTGCCCTCTCTCTTCAGGTCCAGATGAAGAAGAGAACCCAAAAGCCTTTGAAGACTATAAAAAGTTTGTCAGGCTTACAGGATTCAATGAAGATAAAATCAAAATCCCTGGACAAGTTGGTAATAAGAATAGAACTGGCTGCGCATTGCTGTGCCGTGTTCCCTTAGCCCTGAACTCCAACCCCTGCCTTTCCCCTTTTTTCTTGTTCTTCCCATCTCTTACATGCTATTATACACTAATTTCTTAGGAGACCTTGTATAATTGTTTGAATTATACGGTAATAAGTGATTTTGGTAAATCCACTCACATATGTCTTTGTTTCTGCAGAGGCTTGCACCCCGGAACATGATTAAGGTGTGTACTCTTTAAAGATTTCTAGAGAATCTTCCAGAATAATCTAAACTCTTACACTTCATCTGGGATTTAAGCACCTACTTGGTCCAGTTCAACTACAGGAAGTTGAACACCCAAATGGTGTCAGTGGCATCACCTTGTTTTACCTATCTCAAATAGGTTTTAGCTTCCTGTAGATTTCTGTCTTTTTGTCTTCCTGCATGCTAGAAATGTTTTGGTACATCTCCATCTATCACCAGTGGCTTCATTTTAAGACTATTGCCTCTTGTTTGGTTCTTAGTGGAAGGTGAGAACAACTGGCTAAAATGTGAAGAATGATAATTGTGGAGTCAGTACTTTCAATTACCTGTGGGAACTTGAGAAAGTCCCTTAAGCAATCTGGCCTCAGGTTCTTCTTATGTAAAATAATTCAGGTTGAATTAGATCACTCCTGTTATCTCTTTAAGCTTTAAATCTAGAATTTTATAATAATAATCATGATTTAATATATTTGAAGATTGTGATAAAATTTTCCTTCATTTTCCCTCTCCAAGTTTCTCCAAGGGATCTCTTATACTCCCTGAAATACATGATTCAATTGGACAAAATGTTTATTTACACACACGGTTTCAAGAACATTGAAATCACCCAGTTGGTGGCTTTGCACATGATAGGTTTTTTACTTAGCAGCGGCCTCTTCCTTTCTGAGGTCATAGGGCTCTAGACTTAGAACTTTTTTCTAGTTCAGCCTGCTCATTTTTCAGTTATTGTAAATGAAGCCTAGAGAGATCACACAAATGACCTCTTCAGAAGTGATGGAGACCAAATGGGAAACCATTCCCTCTGACTCCAAATCTTCTGTTCTTTCTCACCTATAATGATGGCTTTTTCTGAACATCTGGCATTTTGAGGCTAGGTTTTGCTAGCTCATGGGAAACTGACTTCTGCTCTTTTGTGCAATCCAAGGGAGTCATTACTGACTCTCTCTTTGATGTTTTCTAGGAGAAGGTGATTCTCTTCAACCTTAGAATCAATGCTGTCCAGGAAATCCCAGTCATATCCTTAAATACCAAGGTGTTCCTAGTGCCTGGTTGCTACATAAACTTCTCCTTTTCATCCTTAATCTCTTTCTTCAACTTTTAGTTTTTTTCTTCCAATGCAAAATAAACATATAATGCAACAATTATTGGCTGTGTCTCTCTGTTTTTAAAATTTTTTTGGGGGGCTATGAATAAAAAGTGGCTGACAAGTAGATTGGGTACACTTGACTGGGAGTCTATGCCTTGGATTTTCAAAGGTTGAGAGAAACTTATGTCTTCTATAAGGTGTAGTCAAACATTGCCTATATATAATACTCAAATTACTGGCTGAAAAATGAAAGGGTAATTCATCTTCTGTTCACAATGTTAGGCATAGTGGTTATGATAGCAACTGACTTTATGTTTTATGGCTCCAAAGTTGAACACTAGAATGCCTTAGCAATGGATGATCAGTGAGGTTTCACAACAGATTTGTAGGCATAATTATTCCAAATAAAAAGCTACGCAAATAATAAATTAGGAAGATGTGTTTCCTCCTTACTTCCCTGCTTCTTTTTCTCTTTCATCCCTCCCTAGAAGAATTCCTAAATAGCTCTCCAATGTTTCTACCTGACTGCCTCCTTCATGGAACAGCTTCTCATTCTCAACTGAATTTCACTTTGTATTTCATGGTGTTTTCCCATGAGTATTGTTATTCTTCCCTTGAATTCATTAAAAGATTATTTTCCCAACATCTCTGGCTGACTCATAGGCCTTTCATTACACACAAAATGAATACTTGGACAAGGATTTAACTTAATGTCAATTTCACCTACACTGGGGTGGTATGGCATTGTGATCCCATTTGTAGACAGCAAAGGTCAATAGGAGAACCCTATGTCCTAGTATTATTGCTCATTATGAGTGCAAAATTTGCTAGTTTTCTCTTTGCTGGCAACTTTTCCTCCTCTCCTCCTATCAAAAAAGTGTAACTTTTCTAGAGTCAGCTCAATTTTGTAATAAATAGATCAGTTCACTTACAGCCTGTACTTTCTTATGGTCTTTTCCCAATCATCATTCTTCTTCAACTTTCTACAGAGCCTTTGACACTGTTGATCACCACCTTCTCCTGGATCTCCTTCTACTCATTCAACTGTTCCTTTGCAGTCTTCTTTGCTGGATCTTCATCCATGTCATGCCATTTAAGTTGAGTATCCCTAAAGCCTCTGTCCTAGCCTATTTTTTCTTCTACTTATACATTGCTTCTATTGATGATATAATTAGCTCCCATAGATTAGATTATCTCTATCCAGAGTTGTGAGACTGGGTGACTGGGAGAATTGTAATGTCATGGATAGAAATTGGGAAGTTTTGAATGTGGGAGGGGGAGAGTAATATAATGAAAAGCTTGAAAGAAAAGAGTATCAAGGAGAAGAATCATTATCTTTGGAGAGAGGAATTTTAATTAAGTAATGAGGTTGGAAGCCAGCCTGTAGAGAATTAAGAGGAGAGGAAGTGAAAAGAAAGTGGACACACCTATTGTATATATGTTTTTCTAGTATTTGAGTTATAATTAGGATGGATATGGGATATTACCTATGGGAATGGATGAATCAAGTAACAGTTTTTTGTGGATGAGGAACGTGGACATATTTGTAGGCAGCAGGTCAGCAGGCAGTAGTATAAAGAGAGAATGATGTAAGAGATTGTGGATGATAGGGGCAATCTGCTGAAGGAGATGGGATGGGATGTGATCACTCTTGCATGTAGAGGAATTTTCCTTGGCAAGAACAAGGTCACCTCTTCATGTCAAACATGAATGAAAGGGGAAATCATGGCAGAAAGTACACATGTGATGAGAAGGGGAAGAGGTAGTGTTTGGTGAATAGCTTCAAGTTTTTCAGTAAAATGTAAGGCAAGATTTTCTACTGAGAATGTGGGGTAAGGTAGGACCAAGGAAGGTCTGAAGAGAGATGGAAAGGTTTGGAAGAAGCAAGAATTATTGTGGGAAGTGGATTACTGAGTTAAGTAGTGAGGTGTAAAAGGACCTCTTGGTGTAGCAAGGGCCCAATTGAGGATATGTAGCATATATTTATTTATTTTCAATTATTTAATTATTTATTTTAGGCAATTGAGGTTAAGTGACTTGCCTAGGGTCACACAGCTAGTAAGTGTCAAGTGTTTGGTCTGAGTCCGGATTTGAACTCAGGTCCTCCTGACTTTAGGACCGGTGCTCTATCCACTGTGCCACCTAGCTACCCCCATATATTTCTAATCAATCCAGTCAGCATAATTCTATGCTTTTCTCCAGCTTTTTTCAGTAACACATATATAGGAATGAAGGCAATAGATGTTGGGAGTTATTAAAAGCAGAGGCTTGTCAGGGCAAGATAGGCAACATCTTAAAGGGACAAGAGATTGAAGAGATGAAGACAGTGTAGAATTAGAATGGTTCACCAAGGAATCAAAATGTGGTAGGGAGGAGGATAAAGGTGATGGCCTGGGAAAGAATCAAGAGGTAGAGAGAGTGGAGGTCTTAGTAAAGATGAAGAACAGTGTTAGGGTTTTTAAGGCAGAGATGGAATAATAACAGATTATACTCTGATGAGGTGATTTAAGAATTCATGAACATGGAAGTAGAGCATTTGTAGGTGATGGCAAGATTAAAGTTATGGCTGTGGTGGGGTAGAGGAGTAGGTTATTTGAAATGAATACCATTGAAGGACTGTGAGATTAGGTTGCTTCTGGGTAGGTCTGGACAATATATGGTCTACCAGCTGCCTTCAGCCTGTCAAAGGATTTCAGGCAGCAGCCACTGCCCACTGTCTCCTGTTTGTCAAGTGACCTGTGACAACCAACTATGGTCAATTTGCTTCTACTTACCTTTACTTGGAAAGTGAGCTGCCAAAAACCTATTTGCAACTCGAAGAAGTTTAGCCAATTTTAATTTTGGACCCTACTGACTCCCAAGTTGTGCAGGTCTGTTTCAGGGAATATCAATAGATATATTGAAATCCCATAGTGCAAAGGCAGGAGTTGAGGAGGAGAGGAAGGTTGTGGTCCTGGCACTGAACTTACTGAGGACAGCATCTTGAGGAGAGTATCTTGGACATTAGTAGACAATTAACAATAGGCTGATTTAGTGGGAAATATGGATTGAGTGAACCTCAAAGGAAGAGAAGTTACTGCATGATAGAGGGAGAGGGACAGCCTTGAAGCAGCAATGGGGAACAAGGATTATTTCAACTCTGCCATCTGAATCAGTAAGTTATGGGGTACGAGCTAAAGTACAAATGGTGCTGCCATTGTAATGCTGTCTTTACTATCTTGTTCTTATTGTATAAATTGTTCTTCTGAATCTGCCCATATCCCTGCATCATTTCATACAAGCCTTGCCAGGTTCCCTAAAACCTTCACCTTCTTCTGGTGCTCAGTAGAATAGTCTTTTTCCTCTTCTAGAAGGAGACGAGAGACCACGTGATGGAATGGTGACCTCTTTCCTTAACCCAAAGGTGGGAAAGTGGTGAGTGATAGAATTTTTTTACTTCTTTACCTAGGAGGCTGGAAACCAGGACAGAAATGTTGTGTGATAGAATGAATCCCTCTCCCCTCACCAAAAAGGTAGGAAAATGGGACTACTGAATGACATTCCTCCTCTTTCTACAAAAAGCTGTTGACCAGGCAAGAAACCTGGTATGATGGAACAGAGTTTCTCTTTTTCCCTTTGGAGGCTGAAGGCCTGTGCAGTGGATTGGCACTGTTTCCTCTCACCAGAACAGAAAGAAAGTAGTGTGATGAAATATCTTCTCCTCTTTCCTCAAAGGCAAGAAAGGAGACTTGTTTATGATGGAATATCCTTCCTCCTCTTCTTTGTAGGAGGCTTGAGACTAGCTATGAGACTTAAAGTGATGGAATAGCTTCTTTTCCCTTCACCAGAAAGGCTGAGACCAGCACAATGGCCTCCAGATAATCAAAATAAATCTAGACACCAAAGGATAAATATTGCAAAACAAAGGAAAATGAATCAACATCCTATGAACCAGCATGGAACCAGAGCAAAATGATCCTATCTGCTTTAAAAGAGAAATAAGAGTAAGAATAGAACTGATGACTTGCAGAGCAGAAATCTTTGGCAGGGTAGAGCAATCCACAGTGATGAGTTTCTTCTAAGAAATATAAGCGAGAACAACAGATTGGGAATACAAATATACAAAAATGAAGCATAATGTAGAAGAAGGGAGGCAACCCCCCCAATAATATTAAAAGAACACATGATCTCTATATAAGCAAAGTGTTCAGAGCATTGTGCTGTTTATTGGAGGAGGGACAAAATTCAAGTTTGACATGATTCTTGCCAAAGGTACAAATACAGGCAACCCTTTATTCTTGCTTTCTTTGTTACCTTGGACCTGAATTATGATTTCATTTGTATCAGGAGCTTCCAGTAAGGAAACTCCCTCTATCAAGACAGATCTGCATCTGTTCTGCAAGTTATATTGTTTGAGAGTTGCTTGAGGGTTTTGATAATTAACTTGCTTATGGTAACCTTGGTAATATACATCAGAGGTAAGACTTGAACTGAGGACCAACAAACTCCAAGCTTGTTTCTTTGTTCACTACAGCATACTATCCTCTAATGTAGGACAAATTAATTACTTTCTTGGCCTCAGTTTCCTTATCTGTAAAATTAGGGGTTAAGCTTTTTTTTTTTAGGTTTCTTGAAACTCTTAAAACTTTAGTCCCTGGCTTCTTTAACATACAATATTACGTGATAAGTGCATTATAAAGATGCCATATCAGATCCAAGGGGATATTGTCCTTGTCATGGGACCACCCAACTTTTTTTCATGATTCTTGGATGCTAATGCCCACCAGGTATGGGCAACTTCCCTACAGAATGAAATCCTAAAGCCTGCCATAGTCTCCTCCCAACAGATTTTCCAAGAGGATTTGGGATGCTAAAGATATATCTCCTTACCACCTCCACAGATGAGAGCAACAACCAGATACTCATAGAAAAGGCATCTGTGAGAGATCATTGGCTTCTCCTTGGTGAAGGCGAGATACATGGCAGCCAAGTGCGAGTTGCCAAACTTGTGGGTAGGTAACTCGGGATTCTGTGAATCCCTCCAAGAGAAGAGCATTCAGATGTGGAATAGCTGTTAGAAAATGCTCGTGTGGATTCCTCCCTCTTGTGGGACATTCCCAGATCTGGCATCTCTAGAAGGAGCAGGAGGGGAGCCATTTTGTTACAAAGCAAAGCCCAATAAAGTGGCCAGTGGATTCTGTGAACTCCCTCAAAAGTTTTGCTATCTGGAGGTTTGATGGCAACAGAGACATTGCTTACCAGTCACATTCCCAGGCTGCCAATACTGACTGAACTGCTCTTTAATGAGTCTGTAGAAGGCAAAATGATGCTTTGAACAAAGCAGCAGTAGGAAGAAGACAGGGTGTCTCCATATTTTCCCTCATTCTTCCATGCTGCTTCTGGGGGCATTAGGACTATTTTGTTTTAGTGCATGATTGGGAGATGTAGGTGGGTTTTCTGTAGAGAGGTAGGTTTGGGGAATGCTTATTGTGGGAGAGGAGGGATTTTGTTGGCAGAAGACAGGAGGGCTGAACTCTTAGTTCTCTAAATACTGAGTTCTCTCATTTTGCTTTGCGCTGGCAATTTAACTGACCAAGGAGCAATACCCAAGGACTTTCACCATAGGAGGGGACTACTATAGAAACAGGGACCAGAGAAGGATTGAGTCAGAATGAATAGGCATTTATTCTGCCTCTCTCTTCAGGTCCAGATGAAGAAGAGAACCCAAAAGCCTTTGAAGACTATAAAAAGTTTGTCAGGCTTACAGGATTCAATGAAGATAAAATCAAAATCCCTGGACAAGTTGGTAATAAGAATAGAACTGGCTGCGCATTGCTGTGCCGTGTTCCCTTAGCCCTGAACTCCAACCCCTGCCTTTCCCCTTTTTTCTTGTTCTTCCCATCTCTTACATGCTATTATACACTAATTTCTTAGGAGACCTTGTATAATTGTTTGAATTATACGGTAATAAGTGATTTTGGTAAATCCACTCACATATGTCTTTGTTTCTGCAGAGGCTTGCACCCCGGAACATGATTAAGGTGTGTACTCTTTAAAGATTTCTAGAGAATCTTCCAGAATAATCTAAACTCTTACACTTCATCTGGGATTTAAGCACCTACTTGGTCCAGTTCAACTACAGGAAGTTGAACACCCAAATGGTGTCAGTGGCATCACCTTGTTTTACCTATCTCAAATAGGTTTTAGCTTCCTGTAGATTTCTGTCTTTTTGTCTTCCTGCATGCTAGAAATGTTTTGGTACATCTCCATCTATCACCAGTGGCTTCATTTTAAGACTATTGCCTCTTGTTTGGTTCTTAGTGGAAGGTGAGAACAACTGGCTAAAATGTGAAGAATGATAATTGTGGAGTCAGTACTTTCAATTACCTGTGGGAACTTGAGAAAGTCCCTTAAGCAATCTGGCCTCAGGTTCTTCTTATGTAAAATAATTCAGGTTGAATTAGATCACTCCTGTTATCTCTTTAAGCTTTAAATCTAGAATTTTATAATAATAATCATGATTTAATATATTTGAAGATTGTGATAAAATTTTCCTTCATTTTCCCTCTCCAAGTTTCTCCAAGGGATCTCTTATACTCCCTGAAATACATGATTCAATTGGACAAAATGTTTATTTACACACACGGTTTCAAGAACATTGAAATCACCCAGTTGGTGGCTTTGCACATGATAGGTTTTTTACTTAGCAGCGGCCTCTTCCTTTCTGAGGTCATAGGGCTCTAGACTTAGAACTTTTTTCTAGTTCAGCCTGCTCATTTTTCAGTTATTGTAAATGAAGCCTAGAGAGATCACACAAATGACCTCTTCAGAAGTGATGGAGACCAAATGGGAAACCATTCCCTCTGACTCCAAATCTTCTGTTCTTTCTCACCTATAATGATGGCTTTTTCTGAACATCTGGCATTTTGAGGCTAGGTTTTGCTAGCTCATGGGAAACTGACTTCTGCTCTTTTGTGCAATCCAAGGGAGTCATTACTGACTCTCTCTTTGATGTTTTCTAGGAGAAGGTGATTCTCTTCAACCTTAGAATCAATGCTGTCCAGGAAATCCCAGTCATATCCTTAAATACCAAGGTGTTCCTAGTGCCTGGTTGCTACATAAACTTCTCCTTTTCATCCTTAATCTCTTTCTTCAACTTTTAGTTTTTTTCTTCCAATGCAAAATAAACATATAATGCAACAATTATTGGCTGTGTCTCTCTGTTTTTAAAATTTTTTTGGGGGGCTATGAATAAAAAGTGGCTGACAAGTAGATTGGGTACACTTGACTGGGAGTCTATGCCTTGGATTTTCAAAGGTTGAGAGAAACTTATGTCTTCTATAAGGTGTAGTCAAACATTGCCTATATATAATACTCAAATTACTGGCTGAAAAATGAAAGGGTAATTCATCTTCTGTTCACAATGTTAGGCATAGTGGTTATGATAGCAACTGACTTTATGTTTTATGGCTCCAAAGTTGAACACTAGAATGCCTTAGCAATGGATGATCAGTGAGGTTTCACAACAGATTTGTAGGCATAATTATTCCAAATAAAAAGCTACGCAAATAATAAATTAGGAAGATGTGTTTCCTCCTTACTTCCCTGCTTCTTTTTCTCTTTCATCCCTCCCTAGAAGAATTCCTAAATAGCTCTCCAATGTTTCTACCTGACTGCCTCCTTCATGGAACAGCTTCTCATTCTCAACTGAATTTCACTTTGTATTTCATGGTGTTTTCCCATGAGTATTGTTATTCTTCCCTTGAATTCATTAAAAGATTATTTTCCCAACATCTCTGGCTGACTCATAGGCCTTTCATTACACACAAAATGAATACTTGGACAAGGATTTAACTTAATGTCAATTTCACCTACACTGGGGTGGTATGGCATTGTGATCCCATTTGTAGACAGCAAAGGTCAATAGGAGAACCCTATGTCCTAGTATTATTGCTCATTATGAGTGCAAAATTTGCTAGTTTTCTCTTTGCTGGCAACTTTTCCTCCTCTCCTCCTATCAAAAAAGTGTAACTTTTCTAGAGTCAGCTCAATTTTGTAATAAATAGATCAGTTCACTTACAGCCTGTACTTTCTTATGGTCTTTTCCCAATCATCATTCTTCTTCAACTTTCTACAGAGCCTTTGACACTGTTGATCACCACCTTCTCCTGGATCTCCTTCTACTCATTCAACTGTTCCTTTGCAGTCTTCTTTGCTGGATCTTCATCCATGTCATGCCATTTAAGTTGAGTATCCCTAAAGCCTCTGTCCTAGCCTATTTTTTCTTCTACTTATACATTGCTTCTATTGATGATATAATTAGCTCCCATAGATTAGATTATCTCTATCCAGAGTTGTGAGACTGGGTGACTGGGAGAATTGTAATGTCATGGATAGAAATTGGGAAGTTTTGAATGTGGGAGGGGGAGAGTAATATAATGAAAAGCTTGAAAGAAAAGAGTATCAAGGAGAAGAATCATTATCTTTGGAGAGAGGAATTTTAATTAAGTAATGAGGTTGGAAGCCAGCCTGTAGAGAATTAAGAGGAGAGGAAGTGAAAAGAAAGTGGACACACCTATTGTATATATGTTTTTCTAGTATTTGAGTTATAATTAGGATGGATATGGGATATTACCTATGGGAATGGATGAATCAAGTAACAGTTTTTTGTGGATGAGGAACGTGGACATATTTGTAGGCAGCAGGTCAGCAGGCAGTAGTATAAAGAGAGAATGATGTAAGAGATTGTGGATGATAGGGGCAATCTGCTGAAGGAGATGGGATGGGATGTGATCACTCTTGCATGTAGAGGAATTTTCCTTGGCAAGAACAAGGTCACCTCTTCATGTCAAACATGAATGAAAGGGGAAATCATGGCAGAAAGTACACATGTGATGAGAAGGGGAAGAGGTAGTGTTTGGTGAATAGCTTCAAGTTTTTCAGTAAAATGTAAGGCAAGATTTTCTACTGAGAATGTGGGGTAAGGTAGGACCAAGGAAGGTCTGAAGAGAGATGGAAAGGTTTGGAAGAAGCAAGAATTATTGTGGGAAGTGGATTACTGAGTTAAGTAGTGAGGTGTAAAAGGACCTCTTGGTGTAGCAAGGGCCCAATTGAGGATATGTAGCATATATTTATTTATTTTCAATTATTTAATTATTTATTTTAGGCAATTGAGGTTAAGTGACTTGCCTAGGGTCACACAGCTAGTAAGTGTCAAGTGTTTGGTCTGAGTCCGGATTTGAACTCAGGTCCTCCTGACTTTAGGACCGGTGCTCTATCCACTGTGCCACCTAGCTACCCCCATATATTTCTAATCAATCCAGTCAGCATAATTCTATGCTTTTCTCCAGCTTTTTTCAGTAACACATATATAGGAATGAAGGCAATAGATGTTGGGAGTTATTAAAAGCAGAGGCTTGTCAGGGCAAGATAGGCAACATCTTAAAGGGACAAGAGATTGAAGAGATGAAGACAGTGTAGAATTAGAATGGTTCACCAAGGAATCAAAATGTGGTAGGGAGGAGGATAAAGGTGATGGCCTGGGAAAGAATCAAGAGGTAGAGAGAGTGGAGGTCTTAGTAAAGATGAAGAACAGTGTTAGGGTTTTTAAGGCAGAGATGGAATAATAACAGATTATACTCTGATGAGGTGATTTAAGAATTCATGAACATGGAAGTAGAGCATTTGTAGGTGATGGCAAGATTAAAGTTATGGCTGTGGTGGGGTAGAGGAGTAGGTTATTTGAAATGAATACCATTGAAGGACTGTGAGATTAGGTTGCTTCTGGGTAGGTCTGGACAATATATGGTCTACCAGCTGCCTTCAGCCTGTCAAAGGATTTCAGGCAGCAGCCACTGCCCACTGTCTCCTGTTTGTCAAGTGACCTGTGACAACCAACTATGGTCAATTTGCTTCTACTTACCTTTACTTGGAAAGTGAGCTGCCAAAAACCTATTTGCAACTCGAAGAAGTTTAGCCAATTTTAATTTTGGACCCTACTGACTCCCAAGTTGTGCAGGTCTGTTTCAGGGAATATCAATAGATATATTGAAATCCCATAGTGCAAAGGCAGGAGTTGAGGAGGAGAGGAAGGTTGTGGTCCTGGCACTGAACTTACTGAGGACAGCATCTTGAGGAGAGTATCTTGGACATTAGTAGACAATTAACAATAGGCTGATTTAGTGGGAAATATGGATTGAGTGAACCTCAAAGGAAGAGAAGTTACTGCATGATAGAGGGAGAGGGACAGCCTTGAAGCAGCAATGGGGAACAAGGATTATTTCAACTCTGCCATCTGAATCAGTAAGTTATGGGGTACGAGCTAAAGTACAAATGGTGCTGCCATTGTAATGCTGTCTTTACTATCTTGTTCTTATTGTATAAATTGTTCTTCTGAATCTGCCCATATCCCTGCATCATTTCATACAAGCCTTGCCAGGTTCCCTAAAACCTTCACCTTCTTCTGGTGCTCAGTAGAATAGTCTTTTTCCTCTTCTAGAAGGAGACGAGAGACCACGTGATGGAATGGTGACCTCTTTCCTTAACCCAAAGGTGGGAAAGTGGTGAGTGATAGAATTTTTTTTACTTCTTTACCTAGGAGGCTGGAAACCAGGACAGAAATGTTGTGTGATAGAATGAATCCCTCTCCCCTCACCAAAAAGGTAGGAAAATGGGACTACTGAATGACATTCCTCCTCTTTCTACAAAAAGCTGTTGACCAGGCAAGAAACCTGGTATGATGGAACAGAGTTTCTCTTTTTCCCTTTGGAGGCTGAAGGCCTGTGCAGTGGATTGGCACTGTTTCCTCTCACCAGAACAGAAAGAAAGTAGTGTGATGAAATATCTTCTCCTCTTTCCTCAAAGGCAAGAAAGGAGACTTGTTTATGATGGAATATCCTTCCTCCTCTTCTTTGTAGGAGGCTTGAGACTAGCTATGAGACTTAAAGTGATGGAATAGCTTCTTTTCCCTTCACCAGAAAGGCTGAGACCAGCACAATGGCCTCCAGATAATCAAAATAAATCTAGACACCAAAGGATAAATATTGCAAAACAAAGGAAAATGAATCAACATCCTATGAACCAGCATGGAACCAGAGCAAAATGATCCTATCTGCTTTAAAAGAGAAATAAGAGTAAGAATAGAACTGATGACTTGCAGAGCAGAAATCTTTGGCAGGGTAGAGCAATCCACAGTGATGAGTTTCTTCTAAGAAATATAAGCGAGAACAACAGATTGGGAATACAAATATACAAAAATGAAGCATAATGTAGAAGAAGGGAGGCAACCCCCCCCAATAATATTAAAAGAACACATGATCTCTATATAAGCAAAAGTGTTCAGAGCATTGTGCTGTTTATTGGAGGAGGGACAAAATTCAAGTTTGACATGATTCTTGCCAAAGGTACAAATACAGGCAACCCTTTATTCTTGCTTTCTTTGTTACCTTGGACCTGAATTATGATTTCATTTGTATCAGGAGCTTCCAGTAAGGAAACTCCCTCTATCAAGACAGATCTGCATCTGTTCTGCAAGTTATATTGTTTGAGAGTTGCTTGAGGGTTTTGATAATTAACTTGCTTATGGTAACCTTGGTAATATACATCAGAGGTAAGACTTGAACTGAGGACCAACAAACTCCAAGCTTGTTTCTTTGTTCACTACAGCATACTATCCCTCTAATGTAGGACAAATTAATTACTTTCTTGGCCTCAGTTTCCTTATCTGTAAAATTAGGGGTTAAGCTTTTTTTTTTTAGGTTTCTTGAAACTCTTAAAACTTTAGTCCCTGGCTTCTTTAACATACAATATTACGTGATAAGTGCATTATAAAGATGCCATATCAGATCCAAGGGGATATTGTCCTTGTCATGGGACCACCCAACTTTTTTTCATGATTCTTGGATGCTAATGCCCACCAGGTATGGGCAACTTCCCTACAGAATGAAATCCTAAAGCCTGCCATAGTCTCCTCCCAACAGATTTTCCAAGAGGATTTGGGATGCTAAAGATATATCTCCTTACCACCTCCACAGATGAGAGCAACAACCAGATACTCATAGAAAAGGCATCTGTGAGAGATCATTGGCTTCTCCTTGGTGAAGGCGAGATACATGGCAGCCAAGTGCGAGTTGCCAAACTTGTGGGTAGGTAACTCGGGATTCTGT